AACAAATCAATATTAACTGGTAAATTTGATATATCCAATCGTTGAAGATTTGGTAAAGAAAGCATTGAAACACTAATTTCTGTTGATAAAATTTGAACTGATTTAGGAAGTTGTAATGTAGAAGTACGGTTTGAAGTCCTAGTTCAACAATTTCCAAACCATCATTTAGTTGGACTTGAAGCTCTGAACCACTTAAAGAAAAATGAGAAACAGAGCTAGGACAGACAAATGTTGTATGAATAGCACAACACTTTATTTCTATGTTTTTAAGATTTTTATTAGAGAACAAGATTGGATTTAAATCACAATTTTCTAGTTTAAGTTCTTTTAAAGGAATCTCATCAATGTTGGAAATAGAATAACCTATAGTAGTATTCATTTTTAATGAAGTAACTGAGGTTGGTATATTTATCTCAACATTTTGTGCTTTACCTTCTATTTGTAAATTTTGAATATGAGTATATGTAGTTAAATCAATACTAGACATCCAATTTGGAACTCTTTCATATATTACAATATTTGAAGCTAATGTATTTTCCATAAGTTCTTCAAATAAATTCATTGAACCAACAGTTTCTACTTTAACAGATAACCCTTCGTGTTGTAAAATAATTGTTTGAAGACGAGTATATTCAGTCATTGTTGAGTCATACTCACAACAAACAACAACATTACTTGACATTACTTCTTTTACAATATCTACATTATCCTCTGAATATAATAAAATTACATTGACAAGACATTGAAGTTCCCTAAAGATTGGAGCAAGTAAAATTGCAGTTGATTGTTCACAATTTACTGATAACAATTGAAGACGAGGAAGTAATTTTAATTCCTGTAGTCTTGAAAATCGTTGAAAATGAACTTTAGATTTAGGGACATATTCAAAAGTATCATTTTGAGTGAATGTAATAGAAAGATATTTTAATGCAATCATTTCAGAAAAATGAATTTCTTGAGGAAAGTCAAATGCTTCTTCATCAATTTTAATTGGTAAAGAAACAAGTTTTGAAGCGATTGATTTAATTAGGGCAAAATTTTCTTTAATACTTAAAGGTTCTTCATTTTCTTTAACTTCAATTAAAGAGTAATTAGTAAAAACATTTTCTGGTAAAATACGAATAGTGTCAGTATCACATTGAATACAATTTGCATGAGGAAAATATTTTAATACTTTTAATAAAGAAAGAGTTCTAGTAACAGTTAATTCAATTGGTGTCATAGTAAACGGAGATATAAAAGGTAATAAAGTTGTTGATAAAGTATCAAATGTTTCTTTGCAATTTTTAGAAATAAAAACAAATTGAGTAATTGTAGATAAGTCACGAATGTATTCAGCAATGACAGCAAATTCATTTAAAGTAAAATGAGGACGTTCATGTTCTAAATATTCAATATGTTCTACAACTTCCATTAATTTAATATTTAAGATTTTTATAATTTTTTAAAACAAAAATTATAAAAAGAATTATAAAATAACAATTTCCTAATAGTTTTATTTTTTAAAAGTGAATTTACTTACATTGAATGTGATAAAACATACCATTTTTAACAATGAATCTATCACCATTTTTAATTACTCTTTCACAAACAACGCACTTAGTACTTATTAATTGAGTTTCAAATCTAGTAGAAAGAATTGGTTGATATGTTCTTAATCCCATCTCTTTAAATCGAAGACTAAAATATTCTGTAGCTGCACATGGAACACTTTTCTGTAATAAAGGAATAAGGACATTTGGAGGTAGAGAATCAATCAAATAAGTATAGATATTAAAATGAATTCTTGATGAAATTTTAGGAGATTTAATTCCAAGCCATTGATCATGTTCAGTAGAAATATATGGAGGAATTTGTTTATAAAATAAATTAAAAATAAGTACATTATATTTAATTGGTGCTTGCATTAAATCTAATTCTTTCATTAAAACACCTAATAATGGAGAAGTAACTCCATCTGGTGCCATAGAAATACAATAATAAATAGTTTCTGTTAAAACACATTTTTTTTCTTCACAAAATGGTTTAAATGATTTTCTAATAATACTAATTTCATCTTCACAACGATCTTTATCCAGGAATAGTGCTAAATCACTTTCAAATAATTCAAAATAGTTTTTATTCTTTTTATATTCTTCTATAAATACTTTTAAATATTCTAATAATCCTTTATATTTACTATTTAAATAAATTAATCGTGCTCTAATTCTCCAATTAATATTTTCCATTTGTTTTAATTTTTTTTGATAATAAGGAGAGTCATTTAATATAT